CTGGATCCCTGGAGCAGCTCTGGGGTCTCCTCTGGACTCTCCAGGAGCACAAGGAGCTCCCGCTGCTCTCCTGGCGCTGTTCCCTCATTCCCAACGTGCCCAGGGGCATCCGGGCGCTCATTTGGGCTCTCCCGCGCCGGGGGCTGATCCCTCCCTGCTCCGGGGCTGGCACGGCGCCGGCTCTGCCCTGGGCAGCTCCTGCCGCCCCGACCGGGCAGGTTCCTCCGGTTGTGCCGTGGCCGTGTCCCTCAGCTGGGCGTGGAGCCCGGGCAGCAGCGGCGGCGGGAGCTGCTCGAGCTCCCGTTCCATTCCATCCATCCCGAGCAGCGATGGCCAGAGCACAGGAGCAGCCCCCGGCTCTCTCGGATATCCAGGTAAAGGAGCGCGGGACGTTCCGGAGGGCCGGGAGAGGCTCAGCCGAGCGCTGCGTTCCCATTCCAACAAATCGTGCCCGAGGGAGGATTTGGGACGCGGGGCTTGGGGCAGCGCTTTGGGGACCGCACCGAGGTGGCCACGGCCACCATCAAGGCAGGGTGACAGCCGGGCAGGAGCGGCTCTTCCCCGGCTGCTGTTCCCGGCTGACTCCGGGGCCGGGACCCGCCCGGCTCCGGTTCCAGAGGCGCTGTCGGGAGCCGCTCCCAGGCGGGACGCGGCTTCTCGGCCCTCCCCAGCCCCGGGAGGAGGAAACTTAGGAGGAGATGCCAGCGAGAAAACTTGGGAGAAAGAAACAGGGAACCCCCGCTCCGTGCAGCCACCGCCGAGGGGCTGCTGAGGACCCGGCCCTGGCCCCTGCTCTGCCCCCACCCGCGACGGGAAACGCCTTTGCTGCGGTTCCTGGGCACGGCTTCGGGCAGGGATGGGCCAGGGACAGAGTCCGGCTGGGCCCAGGGTCCCACATCCCATCCCACCCCCCGTGGGGGCTCGGGGTGGCCCCGCTCCCTCCGTGCCTCCCGCAGGTCCTGGCGCTGACGGGCGTCACCCTCCCGGCCGCGCTGCTCAGGTGGGTCCTGTCCCCTGTCCCTCGCCCTGGGCTGGCACCCGGGGGTGGCAGCGGCTCTGCCGGGACATTCATCACCGGCCCCGTCCCCTCCAGCCTCCTGGGCAGCGGATCTGTCCTGGCTGTCACCTCCTGGCAGGGGCGCTGCTGCCACATCCAGGTGAGTGCCGCTGGCTCCTGACATTGTCACCGCTGCCACGTCCAGGTGAGTGCCACCAGCTTGTGGCAGTGTCAATGCTGCAACGTCCAGGTGAGTGTCACCGGCTCCCAGGGACACAGGGCTGGGTCTGGCCCCAGCTAAGCCCGAGTCAAAGCTGAGCCAACACCGGGGTTAAAGCCCCGTGCGAGGGCGGGAGGTGCAGGATGCCCAACCCGGCACTCGCCCCGGCCCCCGGGAGCCTGGGAAGGGCCGTGAGAGCTCCCGGGGGACGCGGCCGCTGCCGGGGGCTGCTGCCAGCAGAGCTAACGCGGTGCCCTGTCCCCAGCTGCGCCCCCTGTTCCTCCTGGCCCTGGCAGATTTCCTGGGTGCCACCGCGCTGCTGGGCACGGGAACCATCCCGCTGCTGCCGGCCCCGCTCTCCGTGCCCGCCTACGCCGCCTGTCCCTACGGCAGGATGCTGACCACGGTAAGGGGACACTGCTGGGGACAGCTGGGACCTGTCTGCGGCTGGAGTGTCCTGGGGACACTGTCCTGGGGTCCCCTCCTCGGGGTGGGCACCGGGACAGGCACCGGGGGCCGGCGGGTGTGGAGTACGAGGAGGGGATGGGCAGGGGGATGGGGGGTGCCGGGGGGCAGAGGGAAGGTGGACGGTGCCTGGTCCTGGACACAGCAGGATCCCCTGTCCCTGTCCCTTTGCTGTCCCCCTCTCCCAGACTTCCTACTCCGTCTCGTTCCTCATGGTCCTGGTTTACGCCTACGAGTCGCACCGCACCGTCCTCGGGGGGCGAGCCCGGCCCCCGGCAGCGCTGCAGGTCCGTGCCTGGCCCGGGCACAGCCGGGAATCGTCCTGGCCACACTCGGCCCTGTCAGGACACGGGAGCAGCGGGGCGGTCCAGGGCGGCCCCTTTTCCCGGGAATTGGGGCTCCCCTCGTCCCGGCGAGACCCCCGGCTCCGGCCGCCCCTCCATCCCCTGTTCTCCCGCAGGAGCGGAGCCGCTGCCTGGAGAGCGCCTGGCAGGGAATTCCCTACGTGCTGGCCTGGTAGGTGCCCGCTGGGAGCGGCCGGGCCGGGCCGGGGTGTCTCGGGACTCGCACATGTTTCCATCCCTCGCTCCCTCCCTTCCCCAGGCTGGTGCCGGCGCTGACGCTCCTGGCTCAGCTGCTCGCCCGCGGCTCCTCCGCCACCGACATCGCTCCCCTGGTGCCCTGGCACGGCCGCGACTCCAACGCCACCTTCAGCCTTTACTGCTCCAGGTACGGCCCTAGCCCTGCCCGGGGCACCGCCGCAGCCCCCGGGACCCCGGGGGAGGCTTTGGGACCCCCCAGCACCGCTCTGTCCTTGCAGCTGCCTCCTCCTGATCCGCCCGAACCGTGACATCTGCTCCCAGGTGGGCGCTGTTCCCCCTCCCTCGCTGCGGGGCCGGGGGGCTCCGGGGGCTCCGGGGGTCCCTGGCCCGGCTCCGCTCATTGCCCGCTGCCCCGCAGTCCGGCGGGGGGAAGAACGTGGAGGAGAAAATCATCTTCCTGCTGTACGTGCTGCTGGTGCTCGGCTGCTGCTCGGTGAGGTGCGGGCTCTGCGGGAGGAGCTGGGGGTCCCGGGCCCCGCTGACCCCCCCGGGCCCCCGCAGCTCCTGTACCGGCGGCTGCGGCTCCGCTGCCGGGGGAACGCGGCGCTGCCGCTGCTCAGCCTGGACACGAACGGCGGCTTCGGGGGCAGGAGCGGCCGCAGCGTCAGCAGAGCCTCGCTGCACTTCCAGCTGGTTTTCCTGCTCTGCTGGACGCCAGGCAAGGCCGGGGGCTGTCCCAAAGCCCCAGAGCCCTGCAGGGTCACACTGGGGGTGTCCCACTGCCCCCCAGCCCTTTGAGGGCCACAGTGGGGGTGTCCCACCAAGGAATGTCCTTCTGTGTCCCACCCACAGCCTTCCTCCTCACCATCCTCTCCTTCACCAGCATCAGCCCTGCCTCGCTCTTTGTCCTCTACGTGTCCACAGTGAGTAAATCCCCTTTTCCAGGACTCCCAGGCTGGATTTGTCCCCATCCCACGTGGGAGCTGTGACAGCCCTTGGGGACACCCCGGGCACGGGGGGCCCGCCCTGCCCTGGGCCCAGCCTGGCTCTTCCCACTGGTTTTGGGTTGGGATCTCAGCCTTGGCTCTTCCCGGGGGCTGGAAGTGCTTTCAGTGGCCACACCAAGAGGAAATTCCGCCGTGTCCTGTGCCAGCCGGCCTGGGCTGAGTCTGCGGGGACAGGGAGCCCTGACCCGCTGTCCCTGTGTCCCCCAGGCCCTGAGCGTGTCCCTGCAGGGCTTCCTGCACAGCCTGGTCTACGGCTGGATGAGGGACAACTTCCGTCGGGAGGTGCTGGCCCGGAGACCCTCCCTGCAGAGCCCCGGCGGGCTCAAGGCTTTCTACGACGACTCCCTGGGGGCTGTTCCCTAAAATCCCACCTCATCCATTCCCTGGGGGCTGCTCCTTCAGCTCCCACCTCACCCCATTCCCTGGGGGCTGTGCCCAAAGCCCCGTTGGGATTTGCACATTCCCAGCAGCTCAGGGAATCCTGGAATGGTTTGGGTGGGAAGGGACCCCAGAGCCCTGCAGTGCCAGCCCTGCCATGGCAGGGACACCTCCCACTGTCCCTGTGTCCCAGCAGGACCCCCTGGAGCCGTTTGGGGAGGGCACAGGTGGGGCTGGGGGCACCTGCAGCCCCTCCCTGCTGGAGACCCCCGACTTCCACCCCCTGCTCTGTGCAGAGAGCAAATCCACAGGGATGGAGTGAGGAATCCCAGAACCACTGAGGCTGGAAAAGGAGCTGAGGCTGCCCCTGGATCCCTGGCAGTGCCCAAGGCCAGGCTGGACATTGGGGCTGGAGCAGCTGGGACATTGGGAGGTGTCTCTGCCATGGCAGGGGTGGCACTGGGGGACTCTGGGGTCTCTTCTATCCCAAACCATTCCAGGATTCTGGGACATTGAGGTTGCAGGAGATGGGGCCTGGCCTCCTTGGGAGGAATGCAAAGCCAAAAACACATCCCTGAGGGAGAATTCCTGAAGGAGGGAGTTTGGGCTGTTCAGGAAGAGCTACAAGAGATGCTGGAGTCCCCACTCCAGGAGGAATTTCAAAGCCCTGTGGAGGTGGCACTTGGGGACAGGGTCAGTGGTGGCCTTGGCAGTGCCGGGAATGGTTGGACTCGATGGGCTCTCAGGTTTTTCCAACCCAAAGGACTCTGTGATCCCATGATTCCATGGAAGGGCAGAGGGACACACAGCCACCCACAGGAGACCGGGATGGCCACGAGAGACCAAGAGCAGGGACAACCATTCCCAACCCAATAAACCTCCCCAGCCTCCAAACCAGGACCCACTTTGGGTTTTTTTTTTTTTAAACTGACATTTCCTTTACAGGAGGGTTTAGGGTCTGCACGGACACACCCAGGGTATGGACAGGATTTACACCATCCAAAGGACATTCCTCAGAATTCCTCACTCCAGCAGGGCCAGGGGCACTGAGACACCCAGCAGCATCCTGCTGCTCCTGCCTGGATCCAGAGAGGAAATCCAGCAAGAGTTCAGCCCCCTCTGAGCACCCCCAAGGCCTCCCCAGCCCCGAGAACGGGCAGGGACTGATGGAAACAGATTCCACTGGGAGCACTGGGAGCTGCCCCAGCTCAGGGCAGGAACAATCCAACAATCCCACCCCTCCAGGCTGCCACATCCCTCCCAAACCCTTTCCTTAGGCAGAAATCCCGTCCCTGCATGGATCCCCTGGTGGTGCAATGCAGGTCTGGAGTGCCAATGCCCCGGTCCCGGCAAAGCCATTCCCGAGGCAGGAGGGGATCCCAGGCACAGGAGCTGCCTCTGGAGGCAGGGGCAGAGCAGCAGGGCCCATTCCTGGGTATTCCAGCTCGGCACAGGCTGCAGGGATCAGCTTCTCCAGCTTTTATTGGGAAGGGGCTGGCAGGAGCTCTCCCAGTGCCCCAGTGTGTCCCTGGAGCTCGGGCTGGGTTTTCAAGCAGGGTAAATGGGATTTGGGGCCAGCAGCCACTGCCAGGCACTCCGGGGAGCTCTGACCCCTGGGGATGCTCCAGCCCCTCCTCTGCCTCTGCCCTGGACAAACAGAGCAGCATTCCACGTCAGGAATCCCTGTGCAGGGACAGGGATGGCACTGTCCCCTCCTCACTGTCCTCAGAGCTGTCCCGAGCCCTGCAGGGCTGCTCCTGCTCCCAGGGGCTGTGCAGGGACAGGGATGGCACTGTCCCCTCCTCACTGTCCTCCTGCAGGGCTGCTCCTGCTCCTCCCGCCGGGCTGGGGCTGCAGGGATGCCGAGGATCCAGGCACGGACAAGGACGAGGTGTCCAGGGAGGGACTCTGGGTCCCCTCCTGCCCTGCTGGTGCCACCCAGGGGACAGTTCCGGCTCTGCTCCCCGTGCCCCCGCGGCAATCCCAGCGGGATCAGGGCAGGATCTCCTCTCGGAAGGGCTGTCCCAGCGGGCTGGGACAGGCTGGGACAGGCTGGCCATGTTCTCCTGCTCCAGGAGTCCCCGGGTGGGTGCTCAGGGGTGGTGCAGCACAGCCTGCAGGTCCTCGGGCAGGGAGCCGATGATGGTGTCGATGTAGAGACTCACCCTCTGCAGGGTCTCCTCCTTCACGGGCAGGTGCTGGCAGCGAGCCCTCACCTGGGGGAAATGAGAATTCACACATTCCAGGGGCGTTCCCCTGCAGCTCAGGATAAAACCGGGCAGGAAAGTGCCTGAGCCTTGGGAGGGGAAGAACTTCCCTGGATCCTCTCAGCTCTGAGGAGTTCACACAAACACCGAAATTCCCTGAGTTTCCCAGGCTTTCCAAGGCACAGGTATGACCCGGGATTGTCTCCACCCAGAGACAGGAAGGAGAGCAGGAGGAGGGAGGGACTCACCAGCTTCTCCCGGAGCTTCAGCACCAGGTCCACGATCTCCACCTCGGACTTGTCCTTCATCCAGGCCACGATGTCCTAAGGAGAGAGTGGCTTCCCTCAGGGACACTTCCCAAGGGATTCCCTAAGGAAAGCCTGAAGTAAAGGTGAGCAGGGGGCTCCTCATCCTCATTCCTGAAACAGTGACAGAGCCCCCCAGTGCCAGCCCTGCCATGGCAGGGACACCTCCCACTGTCCCAATGTCCAGCCTGGCCTTGGGCACTGCCAGGGATCCAGGGGCAGCCACAGCTGCTCTGGCAATTCCAGCCCAGCCAGCAATTCCCAATTCCCCAGATCCCAGCCAGCCCTGCCCTCTGGCAGTGGGAGCCATTCCCTGTGTGCTGTCCCTCCTTGTCCCCAGTCCCTGTGCAGCTCTCCTGGAGCCCCTCCAGGCCCTGCCAGGGGCTCTGAGCTCTCCCTGGATCCTTCTCCTCTCTGAGTAAAGAATTTATTCTGATATTTGGAATAAAATAAACTGCAAGCCTTTGGTGCTTCCAGCCTGGCTTGGGAAAGGCCAGAGGGATGGCACAGGGGTGTCAGGGATTGCTGGCATTGTCCCATCCCAGCCCTGTCCCTGTCACCCACCGCCTCACAGATGGCCTCCAGGTGCAGGGCCTCGAGCTTCTGGCTCATCTCGCGGTGCCTCTGCCGGAACCATCCATCAAAATTGGGGGACTTGAAGAATCGCCTGTGGGGAGGGGTCAAGAATGCTGGAACTGAGGGGTCCTGGGGCTGGGAGGGTGATCCCATCCCACAGCCCCACCCTGTGCCCCCGGGAAGGGGTCAGGGGGACACCCCAGGACATGGGCACACATTCCCAGAGCAGCTGTGGCTGCCCCTGGATCCCTGGCAGTGCCCAAGGCCAGGCTGGACATTGGGACAGTGGGAGGTGTCCCTGCCATGGCATGGCTGGTACTGGATGGGTCTGGGGTCCCTTTCCACCCACCCATTCTATAATTATTGTTTCTGATCACTTTCTGGGATTTTTTTTGTTCTCCATCTCTGTGCATTTCCCATTTTCCTTCCTTGGCTATCCAGCTTCTGGATTTTCCCTGCTCCTGTTGCACCAAGTGTGTTCTCCATCCCATTCAGAACCAATTATCCAGGAGAACCCTGCACAAACTCCCCTGCAGGATCTCCACTCGTTCAAAACACACGAACCCCAGCGCTGGATTCACCCTGGATTTGCCCTTCCTGAGTCAATCCATGGCCGGGTCCTGCAGCTCCCACAGCTCCCAGGGTTTGCTGCAGTCCCAGCTGGAAGTGGGATCAGCATTACCTGCAGGTCTCACCTGTAGAGCCCCAGCCAGTCCCCCTTGAGCACACAGGTGAGCTGGGGCCCGGCGTGCTCCAGGCTCTTCATGAAATCCTCCTGGCAGAACGGGCGGATCTGGGGGGGATTCTGCACGGGGAGATCCACGTTAGCCCCACGTGCAACCAGGGCTGCACCTCCAGGGGGAAAGGTGCTCAAGGCACGAGGATAAAAACACCCCAAGGCTGTTTTTATCACATGAGATTCCCAGTAATTCAGCTCCTGGCAAAACCAGGAATACCTGTCCCAAGAGTTCTTTCCAATTTTTAATGAGTTTTTAAAGGAGTAAAACCCCATTCCTTCAATGGGGGAGGTTCCCAGGAGTGTGCCCAGCACCTGTAACCATTCCCAATCCCAAAGGGAAGGAGGACTGGCAGTGCATCCTACCTTCCACGGAGTGATGGCTCTCTGCAGGGGCATCAGGCTGGCCATGTAATGCTCCTAAAACAAGAAAAGATTAAAAAAAAAAAAAATCATAACTTACAGCTGTGGAGCCTCTTGTGGTGCCCAGAGCAGCTGTGGCTGCCCCTGGATCCCTGGCAGTGCCCAAGGCCAGGCTGGACATTGGGACAGTGGGAGGTGTCCCTGCCATGGCAGGGCTGGCACTGCAGGGGCCCTGGGGTCCCTTCTGTCCCAAACCATCCCGGGATTCCCTGCCCCTGGCACTGCTCCCTGTCCCCCCAGGTGTCCCTGGCACTCACCAGGGGGATGATGAAGCTCTGGGTGAGCTCCAGGAGGTGCCTCCTCAGCAGAGCGCTCTGCACCTCCGAGGGCCGCTTCCGCTGGATGCCCTGCGGGCACACGGTGTCACAGCTGGGGCACACAGGTGCCACCCGGTGTCACCCATGGCACAGCTGGGGCACACGGTGTCACAGCTGGGGCACACAGGTGCCACCTGGTGTCACCCATGGCACAGCTGGGGCACACAGGTGTCACCCATGGCACACACAGTCACACAGGTGTCCCCTCACTGTCACACACAACCTGCAGCTCTGCAGCCAAGGGAGCCTCAAGTGCTCCCCAAAACCCAGACCCCAAAGCACGGATCCCACCCTCTACTCAAATACATTAAAATTCCAAGTTTCACCACACAAAATCTGGGTTTTTTTCAGGCTCTTTTTTTGTTATCAGTTCTTCCCAGCCACTTTATTGCTAGCACCAAGATTTAATCCTTAATATCAAGTGGAAAATCCTAAACCTGGCCTGATGAACGTGTCCCAGCATGGACTAAAAGATCCCAAAGTGTAAATTCTGCTCCTCTGGAGAGTTGTGTGTGCTCAAGCCGAGCTCTTGGCAGGGTTTTCCCACCCAGGACAGATTGGGAGGTGCTTACTTACCTTTAGTAGCCTTTTTATCAGCGTTTTGTCTTTGTGAAGGAAAGTTTTATAGGAAGTGTAGATTCCTATAAAAACCCAGAATCAGGAAAAGCCAGGAGTGAGAGAGGGCCACAGCTCCCTGCTGCCCCAGGGGAAGGGTGAGGGTCAGTCCTGGAGGATACCTGAGCACTGCACTCACCTGGTTTGGTGTCCAGGGTTTTCAGCTTGGCCAGTTTCTTCACCTTCACCTGCTTGGGCAGGTCCCCTGTGACACACAGGGGGGACAATTCAGGCTCTGTCCCTTCCTGCTGGCACTCTGCACCTGGGGACACCCAGCCCTGCCCTTGTCCACCCTCAGAGCCATCCCAGCTCCCTTCCCTGCTGGAATTCTGGGATGAGGATGTGCTAAAATCCAGCTCCTCGTGCCCAGGAAGGGCTTTTCCTCTCCTGGAAGCTCCAGGACAGCAATTCCTGCTCCCCATTCCTGCACACAGCCAGAGCCTGAGCTCCTGCTGCCTCTGCCAGGAATGCAGCAGACAAAGGAATCCCTGCCAGGGCAGCTCCCTGCAGCCTCCAGCAGCTCTGCCAGCCCCAGGGTGCCAGGGCCCAGCTCACCTGGGATTCTGATCTCACCTTTCACCCCGAGCTGCCCTGCAGACCCCCTGGTCTCACCTGCCATGCGGAGCTCGCCCACCCTCAGGATGTGTGGCCAGTGCTGCAGGGTTTTGATGAAGAAGGGGTTGGTGACGCCCACGACGATGTTGGGCCTGCAAGGAGGGCACAGGCTGAGCTCTGGTGGCTCAGTGAGTCCCTCAGGGCTGGTGCCAGGGCACAGGGGCACTCACGGGGCCTGGGTACGTGTGGTGTACTCCTTGAACTCGCTGTCGTGGATGGTGAAGTACGGCCGGAAATCACAGCAGTAACGGAGAGGGGCCAGGCAGCTGCAGGGACAGGCACGGTCACCTGGGCATGGCAGGGGCAACCTGGGCATGGCAGGGGCACCTGGGCATGGCAGGGGCACCTGGGCATGGCACGGGCACCTGGGCATGGCAGGGGCACCTGGGCATGGCAGGGGCAACCTGGGCATGGCACGGTCACCTGGGCATGGCAGGGGCACCTGGGCATGGCAGGGGCACCCTGGGCATGGCACGGGCACCTGGGCATGGCAGGGGCACTCTGGGCCAGCACAGGGGACAGTCCCTGCCCTGGGGCTGTGCCCACCCTGGCGCTCCCACAGCCCAGGGGCCATCGCCCTCCTGCCCCCCTGGCCCCCCTGGGCTGGTGCCCAGCCCCTGGCACGGCACCCCCAGGGCCTTTCCCAGCTCTGCAGCGCTCCAGGGGCTCGGGCTGTCCCCAGGGCAGCACCTGGCACTGGGCCTGGCTGAACCCCTCTGGGAGCTCTCCAGGATGTTGGGGTTTGTGCTAAGGCAGAGCTCTGAGCTGGGAGAGAACGTCCCTCAGGGCTGGAACCAGCGGGGGAGGCTCCTCTGTGCCCCTCTCTCCTTGCTGGGCAATGAGCGTGGAGGATTTGCAGCACAACCCAGCCCAGGTGAGCAGCACGGAGTGCAGGTGGCCGGGAAAAGCTGCCCGGATCTGCTGTCACAGTCCCTGTGGGTGTCACCTGGTGAGGGCCAGCACCATCTCTGAGGACACGCTGGGGGACGGGGCCATCACCACCATGGGCTCCCCCAGCAGCATCAGCTCCCACAGCATCTGGATGTGGATCAGCACTGGCTGGAAGCACCTGGACCACGGGAACAACAACAGTGGCAGGGGGTGAGTTCAGGACGGACCTGACACAGGTGTGGCCTGCAAGCCCCTCCAGGTGTGCTCCCATCCAGGAATTCGAGGTCTAGGATGGACTTCCAGCATTGCACAGGGCAATTCAGGTGTGTTCACCACTCAGCTGTTTTATACGAGTTTATGCTCTAAGCAAAGCCAAGCAATGTGTGGTCAGAGAGCCGTGGAGTGGTTTGGGTGGGAAGGGACCTCAGAGCCCATCCAGTGTCACCCCTGCCACTCTGGGGCCTCCTCTGGACTCTCCAGCAGCTCCAGGTGCTGCTGCTGTGTCCCCAGGGCTGGGGCAGCTCTGCAGGTGAGGTCTCACCTGGGCACAGGGGCAGGATTCTCCCTCCCCTGATGCCCACTGGGCTCAGCCCAGAACCGGGGGGGTCTGGGCTGGGTCAGGTCCAGCTCTCACCCCCAGCACCCCCAAATCCTTCTGCCAGGGCTGCTCCAGCTGCTCATCCCAGCCTGGATCGATCCCTGCGCTTGCCCTGACCCGGGTGCAGCACCTTGGACTTGGCTTTGTTAAACCTCAGGAGGTTCCCATGGACAGGTGCTGCTTTCAGTGTGCCTGAGAGAGCAGGACAGCCCTGGATTCCAGAGGATGGACGTGGGAACGGCACCTCCAGGGCTGGATCTGCCTGGGACACCCCCCTGGGAGCTTTGGGCAGGAGCCCCTCCCCTGCCCCGGGGCTGTGCAGGGCACAAGGCTCAGCTCAAAGCCTGCCCCGAATGGCCAAGGAGTCCCTGGAGTGTGATCCTGCACCATCCCTGTCCCAGCAGCTGGAGGGGAGAGGGGTGGGAGAGCCTCTCACCTGAACAGATCCAGCTCATGAACACTGGGGAGAACCAGGGGGGCTGGTAGCAGGTTCTGGATGAGGAAGGGAGAAAAGGCTGTTAGTAGCTGTTAGTGAACTGTGAGGGGATGGGGGCAGCGTGGCTGAACTGCACCTGCACTGAGCAGCCAGCACGGGGGACACAGGGGACACAGGGGACACAGGGGACACAGGGGACAAGGCTCACACCCTGAGGGGTGTGCAGGAGCAGGGCTGGGGGCAGCATTCCACCCTAATTCATTTCTGTGCCTGCAAACTAAGGAAGATTCCTTTCTTTCCAGATGGCAAAGGCTGCCCATGTCTGCTCCTTTATTTTCCAGGGTTTCCTCTGGAAGGAGAGTGTTTGAGACCCGACAGAGCCAGGAGAGGTTAGAGGTGTGGCACCAAACCAGTGTTAGTCACAGAGAAAGGGGAAAGGGGGAGAAATCCAAACCAGAGCCGAACCAAAACACTGAGACAAACTCAAAACAACTGAATCCAAACCAGAGCTGAACCAAAACAGAGACAAACTCAAAACAACTCCAGGGTGAAGGCAGGAGAGCCAGCAGGGCCTGAATTCCCAGGAAATGCAAAGGGAGCAGTGAGTAAAGCACCTGGATTGGGTGCAGAGACTGCAGGCAGCAGAGCCTGGAGTGGAACTGCTGAGACCACCCTGATCCCAGACCTAAGGATTCCCAGCAGGATCCAGGACTCAGGATCCAGGATCCAGACCCAGCTCCCCCCTGGGAGCCAGCCCCTCTCACCTCCTGGTTGCACTGCTTCACTGGGCTGGAGCCTGGCTTGTCCACCCGGGATGGGATCCTCACCTGCAGGGCACGGACAGCAGGATCACCCTGGGATGGGATGGCATCACAGGGGACAAACTTCTCCAGCCACCAACTCCAGCTGGGAAGGCTGTGGGGAACGCGGGGTGACCTGGGATTTCACGGGACCATGGAACACAGGTACCTGGATGACAACTCCCATCACGGGCAGGTTCAGGGTCTGGCCAGGCACTGGGGGTGGCCACTGGTCGATCTCGTTGCACACTGGGGGACACAGGCAAAGGAAGAGTTTCACCTGAGGGAAAATCCAGCTCAAATCCACCTCATCCCGGGATTCTGAGAGGGAATTATCCCCTGCTCCCAGCTCACACATCCCCCTGGCTTGTGGCAAGCCCAGAGCTGATAAATCAGGATGAAATGACCCAGGCAAAAAAGGCCTGATGGAGGTGCAGCAGATTCCTGGTTTTGGGAACACCCTGAATCCCTTGGGAACACCCTGAATGCAAACTGAGAGCCCCATCTCCTCCCTCCCAACCCCTCCTTCACACCTGGTTATCCACTCAGACAAGCAGGACAGAGCTCTTCCCTGCTGGAATTTGCTTTGAATTTACCCTTTGGAGCATTCCAGCTGTTTCCCAGGAAGCTCCCAGCCCAGCCCTGCCGTCCCCAGCTCACCTGCCTCCAGGCAGGGCTCCAGCTTGTCGAAGTACTCGGGAGCAATCAGCTGCAGCAGGCACTGGAACAGGTTCACGTAGGGCAGGCGGGACACGAGCACCAGGGACTGGGAACGGCACATTTGGGATCAGGACCCCCCTGACCCCAGCACTGCACATTTCTGTACAGCTCAGAGAGGGATGAACTAAAAAAACCCAGCACAAAACGCTGGAATTCAAAAATGCAAGGAATTCTCAGAACATTGGGGCTGTAAATCAAAGCCTGCCCACTGGTTCAGTGGGGATGGAAAAACGGATTTCTGCATTAGCACGAGTCTGAAAGGAACTGCAGCCCCGGGGATTTTGGGACTCCAGACTCAGCACTGACCTTCTGGAAGTAGCCCCTCCTCATGGAGCTGTCCTTGACCTGCCGGAAGTACACGTACCCGAAATAGTGAGCGGCCTCTCGCTGCAGGGACAGGGACAGGGACAGACAGTGAGGGACAGCCCAGCCACACTGTCACCAACCCCTCCTGAGCCACCCCCCTGCTCTGACACACCCCAGCATCCATCCCAGCCCTCCAACAGATTTCCATGGGGACACAGGGAGAGACACGACTGGAGCCAGGCTGGGAGAGCTGGGGGTGCTCACCTGGACAGGAGAAGGATCCAGGGAGAGCTCCGAGCCCCTGGCAGGGCCTGGAGGGGCTCCAGGAGAGCTGCACAGG